CCAAAACTGGATGCAGTATTCCAAGTGTGGCCTTACCAAGGCATTGTAAAGTGGTATTAACACTTCACGTGATCTTGATTCTATCCCTGTTAATGCAGCCTAGCACTGTGTTGGCTTTTTTGGCAGCTGCAGTTACTACTATTGAGGAAGGTACCCCCCATACTATACCTGTACATTTGGAAATGATCATAAGTGACTTTTTTCAGTGCCATTGTAACTTTGAATGGTAATTAAATGAGTGGATGTAAGTCAAGGAGTACCTGTACTAAGAAGTGTTGTTGTTTTTAACATTGATGGAATTATATTTTTATATATTAAGTTTTTTCTTTTTGACTTGTGAAAAAGAATAAGATTACCTTTTGTAGTTTTAAATTAATAACTTTTAAGAATTTGTATGTGGCTCGTGCACCCTTTTAGGCTGAACCTGCCTTTTTTAGTGAGTTGCCAGATGACATTCCAAAAAGTGAATAAGTGAGGATTTAAAAACAAAATGATTGCAGCAAGGGCAAGGACAAAAAATAAAGTTGATTCTGTTAAATTGAATTACAATGAACAATGTCCCATATTTATATTTTGCTCTACTATTACATTAAAAAATTCAATTTGTTATTTATTTGTTTGTTTATAATTGTTATTTAGAAGATTTATATATTTGTGACGGCTCTCGGGGGTGCATTCAAGATTTCAGGGATGGGTGATGGGGTATAGCATAAGGGTGAACGTTGTGCATCAATTCAAATGATTAAAACTTGAAATCATATACAATTATTCCTTTTCTTCCTATAGCATGCAACCAAGAATTGCCAATCAAATGTCAGTATTTCTTCTAAGCAATTTTGCAGGTGTGGAATCAAGTCATGGCCATTCACTGGAATTTATTTTTGATTAACAGATGAAACATCGCGTGCAGTGAGAGAGCTTGGAAAAATCCCCCACAATGCCCTGAGGCACATCCTATTGAAAATCAATGGGAAATTCACTATACAGGTAGTCCTTGGCAGACAATTAGGACCAGGATTCCCATTGCTGTGCAAGGTGGTTCTTAAGTGAATTGTGCTCAATTTTACCTTTTCTGCCATGGTGGTTAAGCAAATCACACAGTTGTTAAGTGATTCCAGCTTCTCCCATTGATTTTGCTTGTTGGAAGTCACCTGAGGAAGTTGCAAATGGTGTTCACATGACCCCGGAACCCTTTAACTGTCATTAATACATGCTAGTTGCCAAGTGCCCATATTTTGATCATGTGACTGTGGGGAAATTGTGATGGTCGTAAGTGTGGGGACCAATCATAAGTCACTTTTTTCAGTGCTGTTGTTATGTCACTAAATGAAAACTTATAGATCAAATACTATCTGTACATACAACCTTCTATTATTGGAAGGTCCTTATTGCATGAATGATTAGAGACTTTCCAGCTCATCAAAAAGAATTAGTCATAGGATACCACTTTCTGATAAGCAGCCGTAAGTGGAAATTGGATAGTCCTGATTTATGTCCAGGTTTGTACACATGTGCTGTCTTAAAATTGGGGAGAGGGGGATAACAAATGTAATGAAAGGTACTGACATGGCCAAATGGACCAGAAAATTGTTATTTACAGCTAAGGGACCAATATTTGATTTACTGGATTAAATCACAGAGATGCGTGAGCAGAGTGGTCTCACAAGTTGTTCCAGAACTAATGTAAATAATTCAGTCAGGCTAACTGGATAGGACTGTATTTAGATAAGGCATCTAGCGCCCCCTAGTGTTTCATTAAAAAAAGTATCAGCAACAATCATATATGTTGTTTTGGATTTTAAATCCCATTTGATTGCTCCATCACAGACAAGATCAAGGAATCGAGTTGTACCTGCAACATTCGGAAGACATCAGCTTCTCTCTTTAGAAACACATTCTGGAACACCATCATTGCAAGAAATTGTTATGGCCCTTGTGGAACTTCAATATTAAATATTAAAATGAAGAATGCAGATGTGGAAAGTCCACCTCAACATTGACAGTTCTTCTATTCTGCAACCAATTATAGGTAGTCCATGACTTGCAATCACAATTGGGACCAGAATTTCCAGTGCAAGGGAAGGGAAGTGAGTTGGGCCTAATTTTCTGACCTTTTTTTTGCCAAATCACTAGTTAAGTGAATCACATAGTCTTTAAGTGAATTCCACTTCCCCTATTGACTTTGCTTATTGGAAGCTGGCTGGGAAGGTTGCAAATGGCAATCACAGGACCCCAGGACACTGCAACCATCATGAATACATGCCAGTTGCCAAGCACCCAACTTTTTTGATCACATGATCATGGGGATGCTGCAACTGTTGTTGTAAGTGCAAGGACTGGCTGTAAGCCACTTTTTCAATGGTGTCATAACTAGTTTCACTAGAGTTCACTATATAGTTTCACTATATTGCACAATCTCAGAAACACTAGTTATGTCACATTAGCTTCAGCTTCACCCTGTCTCTGGATTGCTGTGAGGATAAATAGACAGAAAAGGCAAGTAAGCAGCAAAACGTGAGGCTTGGAAGTAAGTCATATTTTCTGTGATGAAAACCCAGCATTAATGTACAGTGACCATGTTATTTATTTCCGAAATCTGTCCCTTATATT